ACATATAGGACTTAAGTACCTGACTGTGGTCAACTATAGACTGCTGATAAAATGTAAAATACTAAAGCTAACTGGCATTTCCTAATTGTGGGTGTGCATGCTATTTCTGGGCAGCTAGGAGGCGCAATGGATAGAGTACTGGATCTGGGGTCAGAAGGCTCATCTTCCTTAGTTCAAATCTAGCTTCAAACACTTACTAGCTATGTGACCCTGGGCAAGTCACTTAACCCTGTTTGCCTCAATTTCCTCATCTGTAAAATGAGCTGAAGAAGGAAATGGTAAACCACTCCAGTATCTTCGCCAAGAAAACCCCAAATAAGATCATGAAGAATTGGACATGACTAAACAATGACAGACTATTTTTAAATGCAAAGTAAAGACACTTTAGAAAATCAGCATCCATTTGTTGGTTAGGAGTTTGGCTTAGGGCTACTATGTATTTGTATTTGTATATGACATTTACTTTTGCTAATATCAAAATATCAATATGATAGGTAATATAGATTGATATTGGCAATAAGTAGACTGGTAATATTTTAAAGACACACTATGTACCTTCGAATACTGGTCCATAAATTGACTCACCACCATTTCCTTTCCCATGTTGATATCTGAATAATGGAGATAAATTAAAAAAAAATTATGTGAATGTAAGTCAGTCACATAGTTCTTAAATGCCTACTCTCTGGCAGGCATTATGCTAAATAATGAGAATGCAAAGACAAAAATGAAACAGATTTTGTGTTTACATTTTATCAGTGGAAACTATGTACTCTTATAAGTGAACACAAAACATTTACAGAGTAAATCCAAGGTGACTTTTTTTTTTGGTGGGGAGGAGAGGAGGTGCTGGCAGCTGGGGGAAAATCGGGAAGGGCCTCATATAGGTGGTGGCATTCATTTTGCAGGAAGCCATGGATACAAAGACTTGGAGGAGGGAAGAAGATACATTGTAAGCATGGGGATAGGCTTCTGCAAGGACACTGAGATAGGAGCTGGAAGATTGTGTATAAGGAACATCATGAAAAAGGCCAGTTTGGTTGGATTGTCAGGGGACTAAAGGCGATGTGTGTAACAAACGTGGAAAAGCTGGTTGAAGCCATGTTGCAAAGAGCTTTCAGTGACAGAGGAGTTTGTATTTGGTCCTAGAAGCAGCAGAGCACCATGGAATTTACTGAGCATGCTTTAATATTGTCACTTTGGCAGCTGTATGGAGGATAAATTGCACAGTGAAGAGATGGAGAAGGGAGACCAATTAGGAAACTATTGCAATAGTCCAGGGGAGAGGCGACGAGGCCCAGTAGTAGGGTGGTGTGGAAAGGAGGCAGATGCATGAGGTCCCATGGAGGTGCAAATGACAAAAGCCTGCAATTGGCTTGGATTTGTGGCTTGACAGACAGGGATGGATGTCAGATTAGGGGAGCTCCCTTCACCAAGGTAGTCTGTAACTTAGTAGCTAAATCCTAGGGATTTGACTGGGTCATAGAGAAGTTGCCAAGGATTACACAACTAGTAACTCTCAGAACTGGCACTGAACCCAGGTTTTCTTGACTCCAAGCCCAGAGCTTGAGTCATTATGTCCTCTTTATCATTGTGCCTCTTCAAATAAGAGAGTAAGATACAGAATAAAAAATACAAATAAAAGATTAGGATATAGAAAATGAATGTACACTCCATAGGTCAAAATATAATAATTACAGATGGGAATTTTGTTGTAAATTTGATTCTAGCTGCGACAGTAACATCATCATCATCATCATGACTGCTAATATTTATATAATGTCTATTATGTGCCAGGCACTGTGCAAATGTTTTACAAATTATTTATAAATTTACAAATACTTTATAAATACTATCTTATTTGATCCTCACTACAATGTTGGGAGGTAGACTCTATTATTATCCCCCATTTTATGGATAAAAAAACTAAGAGATTAGGTGATTTTCCCAGAGTCACATGACTAGCAAGTGTCGATTTAACATTCAATCAGTTACAAAGTAAGAAATAGCTGGTAGGCTTATCAAATTTCAGATTGAAACAAAGTTGTGAGAAATAGCTAAATGGTAGGGTAACAAATGGGAGAGAAAAAGAAAACTTCTTAAATAACTTAAATGAAGGATGAATCTAATAATAAGAAATCCAATAGAGTTCTAGATAAATTACTGCACGTAGGTTAAAATAATCAATTGCACAAGCATTTCTTTTTTGAACCAGATTTGTGATGATTTCATTAATATAGGGAATTCCCAGTGAGGAAATGCCCTCTTACAAATGCAGATCAGGACCTGCTCTCCAACCTGTAGTAGTAGTAGCTATACATTTTAGAGAGTTGTCTGCACATGTATAGCGTAGAGCACCCACCCGAAGTCAGAAGGACCTGAGTTCAAATGTGACCCCAGATACTTACTAGCTGTGTGACCCTTGCCAAGTCTAACTGCTTCAAAAAAAAAAAGTAATTCCACAGAATCAGACTATTGTTATAGAATGAGATGTCATTTGATACAAGCGCCTCATTAAACAGGTTAAGGAAACTGAGGCCCAGAGAACTGAAATGTCTTTACCCTTTTCCATTAATAAATGGCAGTGTCAAAATATAAACTGTGGTCTATCGAGTCCAAGTCCAGAGCTCCCTCTACAATGCCATGCTGTCTTATTTCCTCCTCCCTATATTGCTGTGAAATGGGCAGAATTAGAATATAAATTCTTTAGAATTCTAAAGCAATAAATAATTGTGTTAAAATTAGAGTCGAATTACAAAAAGATAAACTGTCTAGTTCACAATTTTGTCTACTCCCGTTTTTCATGTAAATAAATGGAAACTACTAATATTCTTATTTTCATTATGTCTTATACTCTAACTACCCTCTAGCAAGGGTAAACTTTTATTTAGAATGCAGACACCACTCACGTTTAAAAAGCAGAGACAGATTTTTTTGTTTGTTTATTTGAGGCAATTGGGGTTAAGTGACTTGCCCAGGGTCACACAGCTAGTAAGTGTAAAGTGTTGGTCTGAGGGCATATTTGAACTCAGGTCCTCCTGACTTCAGGGTCAGTGCTCTATCCACGCCACTGAGCTGTCCCCAGAGACAGATATTAAAGGCAGTTTGTGAACTCTACACAGGAGAAGTTTGTGCATTATCTTTATTGGAGGAAAAGAATATCACATGATCTAATTTGATGTGACAAGTATAAAAATCAGGCTGTTGACTTAATTAACAGATCAGGAGGGCCCTCATTTATTTCCCTAATTCCTCCCAAATGTATTCTTACTGTGAAGTCTCCTGACTGGTGGCCATATGAGGGTGTAAATTTTTAAGAGGGCCATGCAGCTAATTACTGGATGATCAGGAAGATGAACAAAACAAAGTCTGAGGATGGCTGCTTGCTCTGCATTTATTGGCCCTCAGTCTCTTTTTAAAAAGCTCAAAATTATATGGGGAGGGGAAACATAAAAGGGAAGGAAAGTTAAATATAATTTCTTTAAGTACCTGCCAATATCATCAAATGTAAGCAAATATTTCTCCATGAAAAGCCAATTATATTTAAATTACTCAGATTAGTGGTAGATAGCACTGCCTACCGAGTGCTACTGATGGGAAGTCATCTATCTAGAAGTTTTCAAATTTTCATCTTATTATTATTGTTACTAAGGCACTCGGTTTGTAGAGTGACAAAATAAAGGCTTAGGAAAAATAAATAAAACAATTAGAGAATGGAAGAATCTTGAAGGGAGAAGGAAGGAGCCTCAGGTACCATCTAGTTCAACCAGTGCTTGAACAAGAACTCCTTCTATAAATATCTCCAAGGGCCATCCAACCTTCAATTCAAGACATCTAAGGAGGCAGAACTCCCTTCCTCCTGAGGCGGCCCATTCCATTTTTAGAGAGGCAGGAATTTAGACTTACATCAAGCTGAAATCTGACTGCCACTTTTAACCCACCGCTCCTAATTCTGCCCTCCTTGGCCAAGTAGGACATCTTATCCCTTTTCCATATAACAATCCATCAAGTACTCAGAGTGCTATCATGTCTCCCCTAAGTCTTTTCTTCAAGGTTAAACGCCCCCAATTCTTGTAAGGCATGGTCTCGAGGTCCATCATCATGCTAGTCCCCCTCCTCTGGGTTTTCTCCAGTTGCTGATGTCCTTCCTAAAATGTGCTCTCCACAGATAAACATAGTTTTCCAGATGTAGTCTGAAGAGGGCAGAGTACAGCAAGACGGCCACCTCCTTTGTCCTGGGGGATAGGATGTTCCAACTGACGTAATGTACAACTGTTAGTTTTGGGGTTCTGATGTCTCCTGCTATTGCTTTCTATTCAGCTAAAATCAACACATCTTTGTCACTCATATTTCACGTAGTCATATGTGGCAGCTTGTACTTGGGAAGCTGATTTTTTTTTAAGCCCATGTGTAGGATTTTACATTTTTCTCTGTCAGATTTTATTTTATTAGATTTGGTCCACTGATTTAGCCTATCAAGACATTTTTTGGATCCTGCCTGTCATCTAACATGTTGTCTGTCACTATTAGATTTGTGTCAGGGGCAGATATGTGGCGCAGTGGGTAGAGCTCTGGCCTTGGAGGCAGGAGGACCTGAGTTCAAATCCGACCTCAGACACTTGACACTTCCTAGCTGTGTGACCCTGGGCAAGTCACTTAACCCCACTGTCTCACCAAAAAAAAAAAGTTGCTGAGATTTGTGTCATCTGCAAACTGGATAAGCATACCATTTATGCTTTAAACCTAGTCATTAATAAAGACACTGAACAGCATGGGGTCAAGGACAGATCCCTGAGGCACTCCCCTAGAGATCTGGTAGTATACTTTTGACATGTTTCCCACTGATAATTATTCAAAAAAGGAAAACCTCTTCTTTCACTACTCATTTTAAAAAGCTTTACCACACAATTCAAATACTAATTTCACATAGTTCAATAAAATAATATTTTGGATATGCTGATTTATTGGTACAACTTAAATTTATTTAAAAAACAACTTACCTCCTCCTTGTAACCAACCATTTTTTACTAATCTATGGAAAATGGTATGTTTGTAATGCAATTTTAAACCACTTTGAGAAAACCCTGCATTCCCCGTGCATAAGCTCTGAAAGTTCTGACAAGTTTTGGGGCACAGATCAGCATAGAGCTAAAAAACAAAAGATAATTTGCAAAATTAAATTCTCAAATTTCAGATTTGGAGGGGAAAGGGGTAATTTAAAAATTATCTCTTACCTCAAATATCAATCTTCCAATGGACTGTTCATTTATTGAAATTTCCAAGAAGACCATGGGACGCTATTAATTTAGGAAATAAACAAAGAAAAAAAAAGATCAAAGTCAAATAATGCAGTCATAGCAATGACCAAACAAAATAGCATAAATTTTCAACTTATCTGGAAGGGAAATTCATCCTGACTTGGTGATACTCTACCAAAAACACTTCTTGAGGCAGCATAGCTTCAAATGCTGTTGCCTCCATCTTGACGTAGATTTGACACCTTTTTTTTCCTTATGCTGACAACACACAACTGAGGCAAATTATCTGAGCCCTTGGAAGGACATCCACAAACAGAAGAATACTATAGTGTTGTTGTTGTTGCCATTGTCGTTTTTAAGGAAAAAACATTTCAATCAACAAGCATTTTTAAAGCACTTACTATGAACCAAGTACTATATAGAGCATATAAAACCAAAAATAAAGTACAATCCCTGTTTACATTCTCAAGGTGTTTACATTCTACTGAATTTCAAATTCAATTTTTAAGTTAATTTCAAATCAGCTATGATTCTTATTTTTTAAAATAACTTTATTTGCCCTGATTAGCACAAAATGAAGTAAAACATAAATTACTTCTTTGAAAATGTCTATTTTTTATTCATAGCAGCTCTTTTTGTGGTGGCAAAGAATTGGAAATTGAGAGGATGCCCATCAATTGGGGAATGGCTGAGCAAGCTGTGGTATATGAATGTAATGGAATACTATTGTGCTATAAGAAATGATGAACAGGCTGACTTCAGAGAACCCTGGAAAGACTTGTATGGTCTGATGCTGAGTGAAGTGAGCAGAACCAAGAGGACTTTGTACACAGTAACAGCCACATTATGAGATGACTAATATTGTTAAACTGAACCCTTCTCAGCATTACAAGGATCTAAGACATCTCCAGAAGCCTTGGGATGGAAAATGCTGTCCACATCTAAAGAAAGAACTATGGAAGTTGAATTGCTATCACTTATTTTTACCTTCTGTTGAGTTTTGTTTCATCTTTCTGATGGTTCCTCCTATTGGTTTTAATTTTTACTTACAACTTCACTAATGTGAAAATATGTTTAATAGGAATGTAAATGTAAAGCCTATATCAGATTGTGCGCCGTCTTGGGGAGGGTGGGGTGGAAGGGGGAGAAAAACTTTCAACTCAAAAGCATATGGAAGTGATTGTTGATAAATCAAAATAAATTAATAAAATTTTTTAAAAATTTAAAAAACAGCATTTGCCACCAAAAAAATGTCTATTTTTATTACATGCATTTTTATTTTTAGAAATCAAATACTAGTTGTTATTATCCAATAGCCTTAAATGAAAATTATTATATGAATACAAATTATGATTAAGTTTATATGCCTCCAAATTTATATAAATCCTTAATTATAAAAGTTAAGAGTAATGATATCACTCAAGAGAAAACATTATGTAGAAAACAGAATAGGAAATGACCTGGATCAAATCACTTAAGCTCCCTATGCATCATAGATTATAACTCTATATATGTACATATATACATTGGTATTTACAAATTTTATTCATCTTCATATGTGTTACCTATGTAATTCCTAGCTTTGAGCAGGGTGCTTTCCAAAAAATAAATGCTTAATAAATTGGAGGAAATATGAGTGGATTAGCTTCTTAAAACTTTTAGACAAGGGTTCATAACCAGGAGTCTGTGAACTTGTTTTGTAAAATATTTTGATAACTGCATTTCAACAGTTTTCTTGGAAATCCTATGTATTTTATTTTAGGCTTTTAAAAACATTATTCTGGGGGCAGCTAGGTGGCACAGTGGATAGAGCACTGGCCCTGAAGTCAGGAAGACCTAGGTTCAAATCTGGCCTCAGACCAAACACTTGACACTACCTGTGTGACCCTGGGCAAGTCACTTAACCCTGATTGCCAAAAACAAACAAACAAAAACATTATTCTGATAAAGGATCCACAGAGGAAGCTTCATTAGACTGTTAAGGGAATTCATGACACACAAAAGGTTAAGAACTCCTGCTTCAGGTTAATGATTTAACAATCTTCATCTATCTGTCTTCCCTGAGACATTTTGTTTTTCCTAACTTACAGTGGACAATAGTTCAGAAGAAGGTGGATAGGACTATTATAAAGTCTCACTGAGAAGTGAGCAATAAAGACTGGAAAAACTAGAAAGCGGAGAGTTGTCTCGGGTAATCAGTTACTAGATAAATAATCAGCACTAGATAAAAATTAGCTGCTATTATTATTAAAACAAAATAGCCCCTATCTTCAAGGAACTTATTGCCATGAAGACACAGCAAGTTTGAGGTGACATTAAGACATCTAATTGAAAATGATCAAAGTGGGACTGGCTAGCAGATGAAAGGACAGGATCAAATAAATGTTTTGAAGATGCCAGCATGAAGGTAATAGGCAAAACTATGAATATAGATAAGTTTAACTAGACAAAAAGGGTCAGTGATTAGGCCTTGAAAAATGCCCCCATTTTATGATGGGAGTAGAAAGAAGACTGGTGAAGGAAGAGGCTTCTTTAACTATGGTGATGAAGTCAACAAAAAAGCATGATGGTGACCTGTCATGAAGGCCACTGGGAGATTAATTAACAGGGTTCAATGCAATATATGGTCAAGTAGAATGAATACAAAACTAACTTTGGGAGACCACCAAGCTTCGACCACAAGGGCTGGAAGTACTACATCCTCTCCCCATTCTGTACCCATGCAAATGGTTTGGACTGTTCTCAGTTCTGGAGGGAACTTTCCTCTAATGAATAGACTTCCATATGGTCCCGTAGAACCAGGAAGTGATTCTGAGTTTGTGCCACGGGATGTCCCTCAGTACACAAAGAAAACAACTATAACATGTTCAGAGATAGAACTGTTCCTCTGAAGGTATGTGGATAAAGGGAAAAATAAGATAAAGACAGGTCAAGGGTTAGATTGGGGCAAAAGGGGTTGAGATTCCTCACAAATAGAGTAGGTAGGAGAGAGTTCCTATGAAGGAATCAAGGTGGAGAACAGGCCAATGAACTGGGTTAGCACTGGAGAAACCAAGAAAGTGGGAAGGCCAGGGCTGGGCTAATATAACAGAATCTCCAGTGTCAGGTAGGAAGGTCTTTTTTCAAAGGAGTTCCTGTGGCAAATGCTTCCTCGTGCCAGGAGGGGCAGAGCTTTCCAGATAGTCCTAGCCTTTAGCAGAGAGCATTTCATGCCAGCTGATTTCCTTTGGACTTAGACTCCAAGAAACCTAATTTATTTGATCCTGTCCTTTCATTTGCTAGCTAGTCCCACTTTGATCATTTTCAATTAGATGTCTTAATATCACCTCAAACTTTCTGTGTCTTCATGGCAATAAGTTCTTTGAAGACAGGGGCTATTTTGTTTTAATAATAATAGCAGCTAATTTTTATCTAGTGCTGACTACATGCCAGGCACTGTGCTAAGCACTTTACAATGATTATCTCATTTGATACCCACAATAATCCTGGGAGGTAGGTGTTTTTATTATTGTCATTTTACAGATGTGAAAACTGAGGCAAACAAAGGAAAAGCAACTTGAGCAGGGTCACAAAGACAATAGTGGTGTAGGCCCAATTTGAACTCCCAATTTGGAGTCTTGCTCACTCCAGGTCCAGTGGCTATCCCAGTGCTAGTACTTTGGGAAGAATGTAAGCTTCTTGAGGGCAGAGAGTGTTTGAATTTTTGTCTCTGGATCCCTAGGAGTGCCTGGTACATAAGAAAAACTTTGTTTATTCAACTGAATTAAGAGAAACACAGGCAATCCTCAACATTTGTGTGTTTAGCATTTATGTGATTTTCTTAGTAACTTCATTTTCACTTTCATGTTGGCAATCAAGTACATTTGTGGCTATGAGGAGCAGAGAGAAAAAAATGAGAAGCGTGATGGTTTATATATGCAAAAAAGGAGGAAAGAATTTGTAAAAGTATTCATGAATCTGCTCCAGAAAGTGCTAAAGTAACCTCGTGAGTGCTCATGAGGGAATTGAAAAAATGGAAAAGCAGCTAAGTTTGTGGGTAAATGAGGTGGTGGTCACGCTCACCTCTTCAAGAAGATCCTACCCACTGTCCATCCACTGGCATGACACAGATGTAGCCTGACCCCACAACAGGACAACCACAGCAGCCGAAAGGGAAAACAGATATGGCAGGATGCCTTTTCCTTTTTTTACCTGGGGCTCTTCTGACATCACTAACTCTGCCCCTCCCTCTCCCATCTTGCTTTTCTTCTCCACTGCATGGATTATGGGTTATTTCATGGTTACTGTGCTAGGAAAAGTACATATTATCAGAGTTAATGTTTTGTTATGAAGAACTGTATGTAGAAAAGTGTATTTTCAGCAATGTCAAATGAAAGATTACAGATTTTGGGTGGTTGCACAAACCTAAACCCGTATTTTCCATAGGCTCACTATGTCAACATTCTTCTTTTTGACTTTTGCACATTTTCTAGGAACGTTACCCCCGGGAGAGTTGCGGATTGACTCTCCATATAGGGGCATGGCATGGGGCAGTATAGATTGTGAGAAGATAGCTCCCATGACATATTGGATGCATTGATCTCTACAATAAATGTTTCGATGGCTTCAGAAAGATCAAGATGAATACTGAAATAAACCGGATATCAAGATTGCAAGTTCTGTCTTTTAGGTCCAGTATCCTGGAAGACATTGAGGGGTGCTATAACTGTGTCCTCCAAAGCCAAGGAACTTTTGCAAAACTCTTGCTATGATGGGGGACTCACTCTAGTAGGGCCTCCACTTTATATGGATCCACATTTATATAATGCTAACCCATTAAGTATTTCAAAAAATTCATCTTTTCCTTGAATTGATGTTTCTGCAACTATACAAATAACCAGTGTTGACCTAAGTACTAAGGGATGGCCTACATCAGTACAGCACACTTAATAAGGTCCAAAGACTAAATGAGAATATATTTAAGAGATAACTTGTACCCTTATTGAGTCTGTTAGGAGGTCTTAAAATGTCCAGTTTTTGAACCTTGTAAAAATTATGGA